TATATATATATAAAAAATGTCATTAATAAAATAGAATTATAATACACATTACATTGTATTACTTTATATTATTAATACAAATATTTACACACACACACACATATAATATGCATGTGTGTGTATATATAACTTTAAATATATATGTAAATATTTGTATTAATATAATACAATATAATGTATATTATAGTTCTATTTTATTAATTAGTGAAATTTGTTATTTTAATTATTTTCCATGTACACATGCATTATTTGAATATCTTTGACTGTTGCAAGCAATAACTTTTATCACTTTTTTGTAATTCATTCTACCAAATTAGCATACTATAATGCCAGTCCTGATGCTTGTGTATTTATGTACCGGTGTAGAGCCGCAAGATCTCCAACAGCTCTTGAGTGTGTTGCAGCTCTCCATCTAAAGAGCAGTTCCACAGAGTCTGACACACCACAGAAGCCAAATGCCAGTCCCGAGGCCCGAAGTCACGCAGACAGTCAATAAGCCTGCATTATGGAGAGAGAGAATGCATAGTACTTATACATATTACAGTACACTTAAAAGTTGAAAGCACACTCAAGAGAGAGGCGAGTTACTTCTGAACGGTTCCCGTGGCCCTCAGCATGGTCCTGTTTTCTGGATCTGCAGATAGGTTGATGAGAACTCCACATGCAGAGAAACACACATCAGGGGTCTTGGAGTCCAGGAGGGTTACCACATACTGCTCCACTGAGACACAAAAGACCAACACAAACGTCAGCCACTGGGGGTTTGGAGACAGAAAAAGTGGCAGAGAGAGTGTCTCACACCTTTGTGCTGCATGATGAAGTGTCTCACGTCTTTGATCTGCGACAGATTTCCAAAGACACGTGTGGCCTCCAAAACAGCATCCATACTGGAGCTCAGCAAGAGTTTTAGTAGCACTGCAATGACAGAAGAACAGGCAGGAAGGGGACATTACTGAAGGACCAAGACAGATGCAACATACAGGCACACACACACTCGTCTTACACTGAGAGATGTGTGTGTGCTGGGAACGGACCACTGAGCTCTCGCCTTGGTAGAAAGACAGGTTGTTGATGGTGGCCACGGCATTAATCACTAACTCTTCACTCTCCTGCACACACCTGCACTCTGAGAGACAAGGACAAAGACAGAAAACGTACTCACAGAATGGCATAAATAACAGAATCGGGATGCATTATAAATACGAGTAGCCTAATTCATTGTACATGTTTATTTCCTTGATCTGGACTACATTTGCCCTCATCTAACATCTAATTAATAGAGCAACTCTATTAATTGAAAGCACTAAGAATTTCATAACATTGTTATATCTAGCAAATTTCAAACATGGTTATTATAGTTAACTAAAAAAAGCTAGTTGACAAGACGTTTTCATTTATTTTATCTTGAACTAAAATAACTGTACTAAAATTACTAAAACTTAAATAAAAAATTTGACATTTAAAAAAAGACGAGATAAACACCAAGACTAGAACTTTAAGTAAATTAAAAATGAAAGCGGACAATATAAAATAAAAACATTAATAAAATGTTAATAAAACATATAATTGTATCTCAGTGATACTAAAATAAGACTGATCTCAAAATGAATATAGATTTTTCTACTGTGCAATATAATGTTGTGATGCCTAAATTCACATATAGAATTTAAAACAACTTGTTTGGCTTTTAGAGTTTTATTTTGAATTGATTAATACAATATTATTTGAACAACAGCCATTTTAACAACCATGTTTGTTTGTTTTAGCGGATTGATTACCATTTGTATAACCACAGTTTTACTACAAACATCATGGTTAAACTATGGTTAATGTAGCAAAATAATGGCGAATTTATGGTTACTATGGTTTAACTACAATAATTGGGGTTTTTGGTTTTATTTGTTGTAAAACCATGATTCGTTTTCGTAAGGGTTTACTTGTCTGCTTTTGTAGCTATTGCAGGATATACAGGTACATCTCAAAAAATTTGAATATCATGGTGCTTGATTGGCCAGCAAACTCGCCTGACCTGAACCCCATAGAGAATCTATGGGGTATTGTCAAGAGGAAGATGAGAGACACCAGACCCAACAATGCAGATGAGCTGAAGGCCGCTATCAAAGCAACCTGGGCTTCCATTACACCTGAGCAGTGCCACAGGCTGGTTGCCTCCATGCCACGCCGCATTGATGCAGTAATTCATGCAAAAGGAGGCCCAATCAAGTATTGAGTGCATAGAAATGAACATACTTTTCAGAAGCCTGACATTTCTGTTTAAAATATCCTTTTTTTTTATTGATCTTATGTAATATTCTAATTTTCTGAGACACTGAATTTTGGGTTTTCATTATCTGTAAGCCATAATCATCAAAATCTCAAGAAATAAAGGCTTGAAATATTTCACTCTATGTGTGATGAGTCTATATAATATATGGGTTTCACTTTCTGAAATGAGTGACAAAAAATATTGACCTTTTTCATGATATTCTAATTTTTTGAGATGTACCTGTAGGTGGCGACAAATGACCGTCTTTATGAGTGAGTCATTGAACTATCAATTCAAATGATTTGTTCAATCAGAAACGAAACTAGAACTGTCATTGAATCATTCAACCAATTTGTTCAAAAAACAAATTGTTGCAGCGAATCCGTTGTTGCTTTGTTTTAACTTTATCTAGTTATCGGAGCAAAAACAGACAGTAACTACTATGAATATGTTTATTTACACCCCATTATAGGGCAAACTACTGTGCCGAATACTTTATTTCACATTCACCTGTCTAGACAAGTTATCGTACAGCAGCTCCAAGATGGTTCAATTCTTGGTACTGAAGATCAGATCTCACAGAGCGCTAATCAGGTGTCACTTCCTCCTTAAGTTTCAAAACCATTTGAGTGAATTTTAATGTCAGTTCTTCACGATAAATCCGAAATTGAGGTAGTCAGAATCTGCCAGCGCGTGTGACTGTAATAAGATCCTGTATTTCCCGTTCGAAGTGCGGTTTGCTCTGTCAGTGTTTGTGCATCACGCTGCAAAGCGTGTGTTCGTTTCGAAACACCTTTTGTTGTGGTGAATGCTCTGTCATTGTTACCCTTGATTTCTCAGTTTCTTTTTCCTTCTCGATTTTTATTTTCATCATAACAGGATGTCATTTTAATGTACCAGACATAAGGTAGATAAGCGAGAAACAATAAATCTCCCACCCATTTCCTCTCTAACTGTCCACATTATGGTTCTAAAAACTACAGCATCCTCTAATTTCTAACTGCAGGAATCGAGCAGAAAGTTTTAATATTATTTCTCACATTCTAAAAATGACACGGGATGTATATTTCCACAGGACACAAATCTCTTTCTCTATTTCAAAAGGGAAATGCATAACCACCTCTTCACACTAACATGCCTGCTTCTGAAAGGTTCACATGCAGAACCAAAACCGAGCTTCCATCCATCACCATCAAACCACAGTGCAACATCTCTGAGAACACCAGGCTGCACAAAAAAAGAGCTATGCATAATAAAAACATGCAGTTTACAGTCTGGCTCTTCTCGTCATTGGAGAGGATGCAGTAACTTGAGGGCCTATGCCAGTAACTGACGTGGAGAGTGTGATTGCACTGTGCAGAGCAACTAACTTGCGCATTCATTCAAGTTCAAGGAAGTAAACTAAACATCTGTGTTGCTGTGTGTTTAAAGTCACATCGCTTCTGCTAAGCATTTATCACGTACACAATGCTTTGAGAGTGACAATGCATGAGTGAATGCACTACAGTATCTGTGAAGTACGTTCCCAGTGGGTTTTCTGTAAACACTTTTTTGTTGTTGTTGAATGAACTATAAACTAATTAACCACTTAGAGGAGTGTGTGTATATTTCATGATTATGTTTTGTACCCAGCACTTCCAGCAGCAGCTGTACACACAGTGTGTTGGCAGCCAGTGCCGTGCCCACGGTGGGATGGATGGCCAGGTTGGCCAGCAGTCTGATCAGTTTGACCAGGACGTCCTCTCTCTCAGGGGCACGGCATTGCTTAGGGGGCGATGGTGTTTCCTGGTAGACCTGAAAAAGATCTAAGAGGACATCTATCCCGCCTTCCTCCTCATAGACTCTCTCTCTGGCTTCAGTGCTCTTGGCTGTCAGATTTCCTAGTGTGAACAGGAGACGCACTACTAGATCCTGCACATACAAAAAGACAGAGGGCAAGTGTGTTTACTAGTAGGTCTAAGACAACACATGCAATATAACATTTAATATTCATATACATATATTAACACACTTATTAAATTTGACTTATTTGGCATTAATGGATAAATTATTACATCTATCTATCCCACTTTACAGTAATTTAGATTCTTTGCAGGGTGGAATATCATATATATATATATATATATATATAAATATATATAT